AGAACAAGCTAGTTCAATGTGAGGCGCGTCCAACTTTCATTTACCGAATGTTGCAATTTTATTTGTTGTTCTTTTCGCAAAAACAAATCATTATTTATTTTCAATTTCTCGTTGGGTTTCTAAACTAGATCTACGATTACCAATTATTGGCAGTTAAAACGGAACTAAATAAGAAAGTCGAAGTGAAGCAGGAAATGAGAGCGAAATATATATTGGACGTATGTATGTATGCATTTACATAAATAAGGAAACAAAACATGTTTCCAAAAAATGGAAATAGAAGCGAATTAAGATCACTCGGTTAAGTTTTATTGCTCTTTAGCAACTGTTGTCTAATGAGAATGCTTGTTGCTACTTAAAACTCTAACAGTTGGTTTGTTGGAGAGCGATCCTCAAAGTGGTGGTTGATTTTCTTTCTGTTTACTTTTCACCTTTTTCGCAGAATATATTTTAGTGTGTAAAAAATTGCAATAAACTTTTGAAGTATCGATTGTAAATGCCGCTGAGAAGCTGTTGCATATGTTTATCAGGGGAATGTGGTAGTGGTAGCACGTAACATATATACATACAATATATATATATGTTTATATATATAAATGCTATACATGGATTGAATTCATAGGTATGGATGATGAAATTTCGCACACATCTATGTTGGTGTTTGTTGTCATTTAAATTGCATTGTATTTGCGCACAACATTGTTGACATTGTCATTATTCTCCTTGCAATGCTCTTGGTTTTGCATCAAATTACTTACAAACTTCATTTTACCTTAACTACCACGCTTAATAGGTTTATGTTTACCATTGAGTGCTCTTTTTGTTGTAGCAATTGCTTTTTATGGTCACTTTGTTTACCTTGTTACACTTTTTCGCTTTCGTTATGCGATAATTAAATTTGTTTTTATTATTATTTTTTTTTTAAATTATGTAGCAGCTCTTTTACGCGACAAGCACATCGCCGAGGTACAAGTACAAATGACAAACGTATATGTGAGTTAACGAGTATGCTGACAGCGCAAATATTATTGGCGGTTAGCGGCCTTAAAAATAATAACAACCTGTGCGCATGCGCACAACTAATTGGTTTAACAGGAAGGGTACACAAGGTATACATACCAATATTTCTGAAATATTGCTTCGTAATTCCTATATATAATATCTACAAATATTTAATAAAATGAATTTGTTTTTTGCCTGACAAGGAAGCTTAAATTCCAGCAGGGTAAACAGCGCTGCCAAGAGCGGCCATAAATTTTGGCGCTGGCAGCGCTGTGGTATTTTAATGACTTTTTGCTTTAATATCCACTTGCTGCCTTGTAAGTTCATTTTAAATTATTTGTTGTTGTAACTTGTATTTGATTTAATTTTTTTATATTTATACCCTGAACAAGGAATATTAAGTTTGCCACGAAGAAAACGGCGAGTTTCTATAAAGTATATATGTATATAAATAATCAGCTGAGTTGATTTAGCCATGCTTTGACAAGATATCTTCACGAAATTCACGGATTATTTTTTAAGGTAACGCTGAAATTTCATAAAAAATTGTTCAGATCGCATCACTATATATATAATATAGCATATAGCTACCATACACGCTGAACGATCAAAATCAAGGCTTTGTATGGAAAGCATTTTTATTTGTCGAAATATCTTCACAAAATTTTGCAGTTATCAATGGCTAAGGCAACGTTACAATAATCGAAGAAATCGTTCAGCTCAGACGACTATTGCATGTAGCTGCCATAAAAACTGACCGATCAAAATAAAGTTAAATATATTTGTATGCTATAAGAAATACAGCTGTGAAGGGTATTATAGCCGAAGTAAATATTTTTTCTTGTTGTAATATTTTTTATATATTTTTTGCACTGCGTTGGGGGCGCTTTTACGTGTGGCAAGCGCCACAAAGCACACAGGAAAGTCTAACAAAAGAATTTCGTGGCGAAAATATGTACATATATATATATATATATAGCTCTCATATATAATATATATATATAATATGTATACATATTATATATAAGTATATATATTGGTTTGTTTCTATGTGTGCTTGTATGTGCAACGCGCTTGGAAGCGATAAAAGCCAACGCGGTAAGTGTCAATGTACGTGCAAAAATAGCATCGATCAAAACAATAACAACAACAACAAGCCAACAAACTTTAAGAAAGCCAACACCAGCAAAATAAAATCCCAACAAATCCGCGATAAACAAAAAAACAACAAAAAGAAAATAGCAAAGGTACGTAATGCTTATATTTTGTTATATTGTTTTCCTCGTTTGCACAGTTAATGCTTAATTTCGCTGTTTTCTTTCCGTCTTTAATGTATATTTATTTATTTTTACTCAATTTTTTTTTTGTTACAGACTTGAGCAAACACACTTTTAAGCGCACACAATTATCAACTATTACACAAACACACACACATATACAGTGGCAACATCGTAACCAACAAGAACAATAAAATCACAAATTTTATGTTTTCACGTACATTGCTGGGGATTGTCTCCTCCTGCTGAAACTATTGTATCAATATGCTAATCAGCCAACGCAACGCTCTCACGTTCTGTTTAGTGGCGATCGCGTCTCGAGCACTAGTCACACGAACGCACAAAACATGGTAAATGTTAAAAAGCGTCAGGTTAAAATAAAAAAATACACAGTAAAAATAAGAAATCAATTAAATTATTTTGTTTATACATACATATGTATACGAATATGTATGTAACGCGCACGTAGACTCACGTTGTCGTTGGGTACGCGACGTGCGCCGAAAAACACTTGCGAACACAACGAAAAGCTAAAATCAACTAAACTTAGGCGCACCGATCGACATGGGAAGGAGCCACTCGGCGGCGGCATTAAAAATGTGGTAACACGATGGGAAAGTGGTAAGAGCGACGAGTGTGCGTGAGTTTGTTTGCTTTGTGCCGCTCACTGGAAAGTTTGTTTTCGTTTTCCAATTGGTGCTTGGGTGAGAGTGTGGCGCTACTGAGAGAAAGCCGGTAGTTACGGTTGCTAAGCAACAAAAATATATATATGCAATAATTAAAAAAGTACATGAAAATAATGTTTTTTTTTTTTGCCAAATAAAAATTTTAATTTTTAATGTTTACAAAAATGTATAATCTTATGAGGTGTGGTCAAAAGGGAAAGTACGTTTGAATGGCTGTTGAAAATAATGGGTTAAAAAATTTGCCTTCAATATTAAAGGGAACCCCTAGTGTGAAATTTTGAAAAAATTAAATTTTGATTGCTTGCGTGTTTTGATAGTCTATACCTTTTAAAATGCTATACTAAATCAGTAGTGCTTTTAAATACCCAAAAATCAGTTCTTTAGGCTGTTACATTAGGTGTGCTCCTTACTATGCTGACTTTAGTGGTGCCTGCAATTTCAAGAAGTCCAAGAATCTACAAATAACCAACCTCGGTCTAGAAGTCTTCACAATCGAAAACATTGAGAAAATATGGAAAGTATGTATTTAAAATAAGTAAAAAAGTTCTCATTCTGTCATTGCTAATAAAACGATCCAAAGCTGGTGCGAACATTCAAAATCGGTGATATAACAATAATTACAATCCTGAATCGTTATAATTGCCGACTATAGGCCATATACCCAGTCTCATATGTAGATCTAATCGACTACTCCCTTACGTAGAATCTAGTGACGATTATTTGTAAAAGTATGTAACTTATTTAAACTATATCTATCTATATCATTGAAAACTAATATTCTAGCGCCTCTTTTTTCATTTAGCTTTATTTTATTCGGAATTCGCTAAACTTTTGATTCTGTCCTCTTATATAAAGCATTTTTTTCCATATTACGCTTCCAAAAGTTTTGAGTACTCTCTAGAGTTTAGACTACCCTGTAGTCATTATAAGAAACAGAGTTAGAAACTTTACTTATGGAGTTTGCAGCAGTCGCTCTTCCTTTTAGCTCTTTAAGCTTCTTATTGACTGAGTTGATCGCTTATGAAACATATTTTAGTTATTCAATAGTTCTGAAGTTCTCTTCTCGGTCACCGCACTTCTCGAAGGATCGAATATTAAATATAAAATTGCTAGTTATACATTTTTTGTCATTGTCTTTTTTTCAATTTTTTTATTTTTTATTATTAATTATATATTTTAAAGTTCATCAAATACATTTTAAAATATCTGAAATAAATCTTAATTATTCCCTGTTGTTTGTTGAGATTATATACAATATTTACGTGTTATAGCATAAATCATACATGTTCGATAGCTTTTTTAGGGTTGTAATTAGTTAATGAGAATTTTTTATTTCACGGACAAAATAATTAAAAAATATATACTTTTCTAGAATACCTCCCAACAAATAAAAAAAAATTTCTCAATGCTCCTCCTCGCTCACTGAACTTTTCGAAAAGTACATCCTTATTTCTTTTCTTTTTTTCTTTCTTTCTACCCTAAACTGTTTCATAAAGTTAAAAAAAAATTTGATATAAACTGTTTGTCCTTGTTCACTATCCTTCTTTTATATTCAAGAAATATTTGATAGTTTCTCATATCATATTTCTCATTCTACTCATACTCGTCGTGAGATTGTGAGAGAATACAGTATTCAGCATATGAATTGTGTTGTTCAAATTTGAGAGCACTGCACTTCATTGCACATATGCTCAGAAAACGTTTATATGCTACGTAGGTGATCACAGATTCGTTATTACATCTCATAATAAAAAAATGCTTTGAACTTTGAGACTGGAAATAAAAAGCTTAAAACTTTTTCTTCTTAAGCTTTTATAAGCAGCTTTTTGGGGCATCGATATCAAAGTTGCCTTTGAATGCAATTTAAAATTCTTTAAAAACATATATGCCTAATTAGCAAATTTACAGTGTTGCACATTTTAATTGCATAACTTACGGAGTATTTTGTCTCATTCTATAGTTTGTTTTGCTTTATTTGATTTAAAAATAAATAAACAAATTATGGTTTAATGGCTTCAAATAAGAGTCTCGAGAGTAGTTGCATACTGTAATCATTTATTTAGCGTATACAATATATATACAATGTTTTGCACACAATTTTCATATATATTTTGCTTAGTATAATATAATTTTTTTAGACACACATTTTCATATGTGCTGTTTAAATTTTTTGTTTATTTTTTTTTAACTTTCGGAATTTTGTAAATTTTGTATTAAACATATGATTTTACTGCAGATTTTCGCTACCTATTAAGCGCGAAGCCTCTTTCGTTAGCCTAGTTCTAGGACGCAGTGATTTTTTCGTCTGTGAATTTATGGACATAAGACTCCTCTGAGATCGCAGCAGTGTCAATTTACGTTCTTTATGGAACTGTAGATTTTTCATTAAAGGTTTGAGCGTATTTGATCGTTTAGGTGGCGCTATGCCTGCATTGGAAAGGCGCAGGCTCTCTTTAAACCATGCAATCTGTTCCTCCAAGAACGAGCGAGTTAGTTGGATTTTTTCAATAGCTGTTTTCAAATAAGTTATGTGTCCATCTAATCTCGAATATTCGCTGTCATAATGTAGCGTAAACTTCGCTATGCGTTCACGGAGATTCTGAAAAAAAAATACTTATATATTTCTATACATACATACCATATATGCAAGCGTAACAGCTTCAATTTCACCTCTATCTGATTGAAGTAAGTGTCCGTTGTGCAGGTTGTTGCAAACTGTTCTTCATAAAAACGTTTTTTTGCTTTCTGAATTTCCCTCTGTAGCCGCTCTTCGGCCAATTGTATGCGCATTTCGGCCTGCTCCTCTCTTACTTTGTGGAAACGCAGCACATAATTATTCTCTATGTTGGAAATCACTGCTTATGAACAATTTTGAAATTAGTATTTTCTAAAAAAATACAGCACATTGCTTACAAAAGAGATCTTCCGGTTTCTTGGTTAACGAGCCCATGGTTCGTTTAATAAAAGCCAAGGCGATGAGTTGGCGTCGCACATTGCCTGTCTTTGCCTGATTCTTTTGCACTTGTTTTGAAATTTCTGCCTCGAAGTTATGAAATCTTGCAATGGACCTACAATAAATTAAACAAAAAAAAGTAATTAAATTTAAAAAATAAAAGCTGTCATTAATTTTTTACGCCATAACATCCATTGACATTATATAGTTGTTTCTGTTCAAATAACAATCGGCCAGCTCGTACAGACAATTCCGTATAGCAGTATAGTTCTTCAGCTTCATCCATATTGTAAATTGCCTAGGTGACATCTGGTGGTCGATGACTTTAAACCACATCAGTCTATGAGACTGAGTATCCAACCAGTCTTCGTACTTCCAACTTAAGATCTGTTCCGGACATTGCACATATATGAATTTGCCTAACTTGTTACGCTCCAGATCCTCTATGAAAATTATTTTGTTCATTAGCTTCTTGATCACCATATGTACGCCCAGTAATTTGAGCTTCACTTTGTAGTTGAAACACCGAAAAGGTTGTTCGACCTTTAGACTCTTTGCGCTGACTGTACTGGCCGATGCTCTGAACCTGCGCACGTCATGCAGGGATCGGAACGAAAGACGCTGTGTGATCGGATTTTTCGCGATTAGTTCCAAAGAATAAGATTTGCGCATAATTTAGCCGAAAGGTTAACAATTAAATCGAGCTCAAAAAGCATACGAAAAAGAAAAAAAATGTAAGGATCGGAAAAATTCGTGAATTCGTCTATCCTTTTCAAATAAAAAATAATTTTTCAATTTCGAAATATTTATGTCAAGGTTTCATTTCAATATTTGATGTTTTTTTCGTGTAGTAGTGCCACTAGGGGGAAAAATTTAATTTTGAAATATGTATTGTATATCTTGGGTATTTTTCGGTTACCTTTTTACCACTAAGTTTTAACTGCTAAGGCACATTGACAAACTGCAGAAGGGTTGTTAACCTAGATAATATTAAAAAAAGGTCATTCACTTCACTTCACCTCCATACAAGGTGTGGCTAAATATAATAAACAGGATCAATGACTTCAGGAAAGATTGTTGACTTAACTAGATATAACTATATGTAACGAAAGGTAAAAAAAGGTGGCAATGACCTCAAGAAGTGTTCTTGATTTGCTAAATTTAAACAAAAGATAACAATGGTTGTTGACCTAGATAAAGGTAAAGGGTCAGTGACCTTTATACAAGGTTCGGCCAAAAATAATTAAAAGGGTCAATGACCTCAGGGAATGCTGTTGACTTAGCTAAAAAAAGAGCCAATGATCTCAAAAGGATGACTCCTCTCAGCAAAGATCATTGACCTTAAAAAGAGTGGTTGACCTCGCTAAATATAAACAAAAGGCAATAACCTCAGAAAGTGTTGTGACTGTGATAAGGGGGCATGACCTTCAGGTCATGCTAGTGCTGACTGCTCATATAAGCCCTTTTAAATTATACTAAATAAATTCCTTTAACAATGTCTAAATGAAACATAAATGTAGGTGAAGAAATGCCTAGATAAGGCCTCAAGAAGTATCGTAAGCCTTTAACAAAGACGTAAGTCCAAAGGTTCAGTGGAGTATGCGTTTCTTTCGTTTATTTAACCAATCACATTCTTTGGATAGGTATGGCAAATTTTTATCCTTGCACATTACGAAGGCATATGAAATGTATTAATAAAAATCTTCTAATAAAAAAAGTTTTTAAAAAAATATATTTTGGCTTTTATTGCGAATTATATTGGTAGTATAAACATTTAATTTATCTTAAAAATATGAATATATGTATATGTGCTTTATTGTTTTTGGAAAAATTTTAATTTTTTTAATTTTTTTTTTTTATATTTTAGATTGTACGTTTTTTAATTTTTTAATTATTATATTTTTCTTGTTTTGTGTATAATTTTTTTTTTAATTTTTAAGTTATTTTGTAATCTTTTTTTTAATATTAATTTTCAATTAGCTTCTATTATCATGCTGGATCTCTCCATTTTATTAGTTACATTCGTGCTCGGCGATTTATTCATGAATGACTTATCCGACTTGACTAAAAATGACTTATCCGACTGTCCAAGTGATCTTACACTGTTTCTCAACTCCGTAAAATCGGTTATAGCGCCTTCTCTGAATTGCTGTACTGCTGTGCGGAAAAGACGCAATTTCGCTTTGCGATATGCAAGTGTTGTCTTCAATTTCGCAATGCCGGTCTGCAAAACTTGCCGCGTATCTTCTGTTTCCATTTCTTTAGTCACAAATTCCTTTTCAACATTCGCAATTTTAATGCGCAATACCTGCGGAAATAAGAGAATAATATTTGTATTTTAATCTAGTTGTAAGGGTTGAGTTCGAAACGCCGTAATTGGTGAAGTGGCGAATCGAACAAGTAACTGATTTAACTCAAAAAACTGGCATAATTAATTTAATAAAGAATAACAGGATAGTATAGCACTTTAATGTGGTTCCACCAAACTCTCTTGTATTGCATACAACTTTTTAGTAGAGAGTAGAACTCAGGCGTCTAAAAAAACTCACCTCTATAGTATTGTGATAAACATCGCTTTTATATGCTGTTATGAATGCATCACTCTCTATGCGCTTATTGTAATGGTCAATTTGTTTTTGTACCTCTTTCATCTCAATATCAGCTGCGAGTTTAGCCTGCTCTTCTGATACCTGATTATGGCGTTTTAAGTATCTTTCTTTGATCTTTTGAGTTACTATGTAATAGAAAATTTTGAAATTATTTTCTCTTTCATGTTTTTTCTATAAACTGTACTAACAAAGTTCCCTCATATTTAGACTTAGGAATTGTTGTTCTAGTGCTTTTAAAGTGGCAGTTAATTTGTCAAAAGACTGCTTCTCTTCTTTAATTTTATTCCATTGATTAGTATTGGTAATCAACTCCTTGCTTAATAATTCGTCCAATTCGTTATATTCTTCGGTCGATCTGGAATTATGGGTAAATGTAAATATTAAAAAAAAAAATGTTGTAAGCTTTGACTTTCTTGTATGAGTCGTGTAAAATGTATGAAAAATATACCGAACTTCGCCAAGGAACAATTGCACTTTTACAAGATTTATCAGGAGTACTTATGCGTTTTTTAAAAATTGCATATTCTAAGAATGGGAGTTCCGTACCCATGGAATTAATTTACGATCTTTAGACCTAATAGATCGATCATTTTGCAATATTTGCCGGATTTTCCAAAGCTTGTGATAGTAGTATGTCGAGAAGGTGGACTTTTATAGATGCACACACACACAAAGCGAAGCCTGGGAAAGGTCTACGTAGTTATTTTATAACTGGTCAAGCAGTAGGACTGATGGTTATACCACCATGGGTTTAGTAAATATATAAATTAAAACCCCCTTTTCTGTACCTTACAATAATACTATTTAATAACGGGGGCCATATAGCAAGGACTGTGTTGAAATCAAGGGAAAAAGCTATCATTAAGTTGAAATAGCAAGTATGTTTATTGTAATGGTCCTGGAACTCAGCACGTATAATAAACAGATGAGAAAATGTGCTTCTAGAGATTCTTCTTTAGGGAGCTTTTTATATAAAACTTCAAAACTGATGATTGCCTGGATCCACGTAAACTTTAGTAGAATTTAGAAACCCAGATTTAAATGAGCATGGTATATTATATAGTATAGTTCTCAAGAAGTCAATTTAGTAATAAGACATTCCTATTCAGTATTCACAAACTTCGAACCGGATTGGTGGAAATATCGGGTCGGCTTTAGAATAACGTCCCACGCTTTCGGGGATAAAACGGGTATGGGCGGATAGAGGAGATCCTCCAGATCAAGAATATATAGCCGCGGGAAACTTATAGTTTTCGAGATATTTACGTTTAAAGTTGAAAATTTCAACTATTTAAAGTACGTATTTTTGCGAGTTAAAATGAATTATACACTTATATCTTTCACTTTTATATCCACTAACACTTGACTAATTCGTTTTTAGAAATTTTTTTTATATTAGATGCTGCAAAAATAGCTTTATTTCAATATTTAAATCATTCTTTAATTTTATTAATTTTGACAATAACAAAATGGTTGTGAATGTCAAAACATCAGTGTTGCCATACTAATATATTTTGCAAACGAAGAAAAATAAAATTAACAGAGATTGTATCCTAGATACAGGAAACGCAAAAAAAATTTCTGCGCGTAAAAACTTTGGTACACTCCGGTGTTGGATCGACCAGAGTTATTTTTTTTTGAAGCGCGGCCGAAGGCCGCCAACTCAAAAATAAGTTCTGCGCAAAAAAACCTTGATACACCCCGGTGTTGGATCGACCAGGGTTATTTTTTTGAAGCGCGGCCGAAGGCCCCCAACGTGAAAAGGAGTACTGCGCAAAAAAACCTTGATACACCCCGGTGTTGGACCGACCAGGGTTATTTTTTTGAAGCGCGGCCAAAGACCGCCAACGCAAAAAGGAGTTCTGCGCAAAAAAACCTTGATACACCCCGGTGTTGGATCGACCAGGGTTATTTTTTTGAAGCGCGGCC